TGCTGATGACACATCTCCTGAGATGCACACACCTTCCCTGCAGCCCCATGAAATACATGGGGACTATGTGAATGTTCAGCAATCTGACTGCAGATTATCATTCCAGGTGCTTTAGATGGAGTAGACTCTCTTAAAATCCAACTCAATAACAGGCTATCCGTAATCCAATAAACTCATCACTTAACTTTCATTTCTTTCTTTCCAATACTCAGAAAGGATTCTGTTCTGTACCCAGTGAGACTGACGCGGCTCAATATCCTCTATATACCCAGAACTCTTCTGACAGCTCTTTGTTCCTACAGTGGCTAAAGTACGGTAAAATAAAAACACGAAAGGCAAAGGACATTAGCATTAAGTAGAACCAGTGACAGTAAGAAAGTTCATGGACACCAAAACAATGGCAAACACAATTTCACTTAAAGAGATTTATATAAAACAAGATGGAGGAAGGCACAAACATGGTGGCAGCTGACGCTACTTCAGTTTAATTATGTCTAATCACTTGGTATTGACAGGTGATTAGATACAAACAAACTGGACTTCTTAGATTTCTACTTTCACAGCCTTTCAGATCTCCAAAGCATACATTTTTTTCTTCTACAATAAGAAGGCACATCATAATAGTAATCTAGTATGATGTGCCTTTTTATTAATTCAAGTAGACCGTCTCTCTGCAATGAATATAACACTTGGCAAACAGTACTTAATTGTGTCATGGATCTATGTGCTCATGTAAAACAGAATCCTATTCTGCTGTGCTTCAGTCTATTTGGTGAAATAAAATTCTGGGGGGAAAAAAACTTCAAAAGCTCCAATAATACTTATACTACATGTTCTACCTATTATTTAACCTTACATTCCTGACTTAGTTTTTGGAAGCCCCATATAGATGGGATAGCATAACATTAAAAAGTATGGAATTCCATGGGAAAACCTTAGGTGAAAAATGGGTAAATATCCTCTTTATATATGTAGATGTTTTCAAGCAAAATATAAAGTACAAGAATTATTACGAAGAAAACTTTTCTCCTAAGAATCACAGAAACACAACAATCTAGGTATAAGTCTGCATAGCTCAAAAAATTCAAGTACAGTATTCCTCCTTTAGAAGGAGTAAGATTGCCATACAGTTTTGGATACTTTCCTCTCTCTTTCTTCTTTCCTTCTTTCTTTCCTTCCATGGCGATTCCTTATAATCTGTTAGTTTGGCCATTACAAAAGAAAACCTTGATTTTTCAACTCAAGAAAAGTACTGGTTCTGACAGTAGAAAAAATTCAAAGCCCACCATATTAAACCTAAATCAAGTTACTCCTACCCCCATTCTCTTTATTCCTTTAAGGTACTGTGGTGAACTTTAAATAAAAATGTTCAATTTCTCAAAGGCCCTATTTTAAAATATGCTTCTGATATGCAACTCTATCATATAAAATGAAAGTCCACCCAACGGGTATGATTCAGAGAAAGTGTCTATGATTATGCCAAAAAGCAACTTAAACAAATTGTATTCTTAGTAATAAAGTCAGGATAAGAGACACCAGTATTAAAAAAATGCTTGCCATAAATGTAGAAATACTTATTTATAACATAAGGTGTATCTAATGGCAGGGAGTGATAAAGGTGTACAGAGGTTTGGAGAATACTGGAATTCATAAGTAAAATAATTGTAATTAATGTTAACTCGGTTTGAAATATTCTCCTGAAAGATGAAAAAGGAAGTGTTAAATATTTGGAAAATTTAATCTTTTGGCCTTGTTATTTAGGTTTACAATACAACAAAAAATTAAAAATTCTGTAGCACCTGGCTATTCTTCAGAAAAAAAATATAATAGTTATAAACTTCTTCCAGAAAATAAAGGATTATTCAAAACCGCCAGTCAAAGTAGATCTGCACACTTGAGGTCAGTTCTGTAGAGTTGCATGCTTCGTCGACTTCATTACCATACTTTTTGAAGCTAACTTTGAATCACATTCAAATAACATCTCTCAACAAGAAGCAACAAGTGGCTAATAAACCAGCAGCCTGCAAAGATGGTGGCTCCTATGGTAGCTCTTTCCTTATTTCACGGTGTCAGCACTTTCCAGATACTGAGAGATAGAACAGAATTCCAGAACAGATATTTTTTCTCCATTTGAATATCTTCAAAGTAGAAAATTACCCATTGTTTTTGTAGATGGTTGGCATGTAGGTGAATATAACTTGGTAATAAATAACTACACACTGCCCAAAGACATTTTAGAAAAGACAGATGAAAAATACAGACGGGCCCTGAGCAAACTATAACTCCTAAGAGTGCAAACAACTCAGCAGCGATCCTGGTTTCACCTTGGCTTTTACAAAAGCAGCAGAGCCCAAGTTAACAAGCTGTCTGAATGGGTGACCGAATGAGGTGCAGGTATGCATGCTACAGCCAAAACGTCAGAGTTTTAAGGTTCTTTTCCACCCACTGGATGTTCAGCTGAATGACTTCCAAAGCCTCCTGGACACAACGAAGTCGAAAGGTTGCCTCTGACTGATTTTCAAAGAATGCCCGGACCTGTAAGTTGCACACAGAAGTATTTCAAAAGAAGAAAAGGATGGTATTTCTCAGGTAACTCTGAATATCCTTTTCAAATAAGCTTTAAGTTAGTGATGGCCATGCTGATGTCTTAAGAGAAGTAGAGATGAGAAATATTATATTTTAATATCTGAGGTATTTACATCGAGTTCCTGATCAAGTACGGTGAAATCTGAAGTAATTTTAAAAATGAATTCCCCTTACTCCCACAAGGATGAATTTTTCAAATCTAAAGTGGGGGGGGGGGGGG